TTTCTGTCACGAAACACGTGACTAATAACTTTTCCATACGGTTTGAGATACCTTCCGGTTCATAGCTTCCTCCCTGTCCAGTGTACTCGTATGGGCGTATACCCTTACGAGTACACTGATAGTTGTGCTAAATTTGACGAAACGCTACTACCACCCCGCGACGCTTTCTATAGTCAGTTGAGTGAGTCTAATATTGATGACGGCGACTATAGACATGCCATGGAGGTGTGGAATCGTTTCGACTGCTTAACCCTCGGTGAGTACATCGACCTATACTTAAAGATTGACGTGCTGTTGTTGGCTGACGTGTTTGAGAACTTTCACGACATCTGCATTACAACATACAATTTGGACCCGGCGCACTATTATATCACACCGGATTTTAGCTTCGATTGTATGTTGAAGTACACCAAGGTGAAGCTGAAGCTCTTAAACGACTATGGCATGCTACTGATGGTGGAACAGGGTATTCGTCAAGCACTATGCCAAGGCCAACAATCCAAAGACACCTGGCTACGATCCGACAAAACCAGACTCATGGATCGTGTATCAAGATTGTAAGTATTATATAAAAGTACAATAATTGTGCGGTAGTTTAAAACGTTTAATGTATATAGGCAATAACATTTACGGGTGGGCTATGAGTCAGCCCATGCCATACGGAGGCTTCCGGTGGAATGAAGAAGCAGATCCTCTGGTCGACCTTCTATTGCTTTCGAACACTGGTAATACGGGGCGTATAAATGAAGTGGACGTATCGTATCCAAAAGAGCTGCATGACGAGCACAACGACTTGCCGTTCTTGCCTGGCAACGATGTACCACCGGGTTCCAAAGAGACCAAACTCATGGCCACTTTGAAACCCAAACAGCGGTATGTCGTACACTATGTCAACTTGAAACAGGCGATCGCACACGGACTGCAAGTCGATAAAGTATATACATCGTACCTAGAGCTATTAGCTATGATATTAATATGTTTGTCACATAGGTGCACCGCGTTTTAGAGTTTCAACAAAGTGCTTGGTTGAAACCGTACATTAAGTTGAACACTGAAATGCGGAAACAGGCGGTAAATGCTTTTGAAATATTGTTTTTCAAATTAATGAATAATGCCGTCTTTGGTAAGTGCACGCTCAATGTTAAAGCAGTTGTGGGTTATTCGATAAATATTTACATTTTATAGGGAAAACCATGGAGAACATGCGGAAACGCATCTGCATTGAGCTAATCTCCAGTCCTGAACGTCTAAGCAAGCTCGTAAACCAACCAACCTTCAACGACTGTATCAAATACGGCAAAAGCTTGTGCGCCGTTATAATGGACACAAAGATTGTCAAGTTTATCAAACCAATATACGTCGGTTTAGCAGTGCTTGACATTAGCAAGTCGCTAATGTACAAGTACTTCTACGACGTATTAAAACCTCATTATGGTGACGCAATCAGCCTGGTTTATATGGACCAAATCCTAACCATTTAACGAAGCCCTGGTCCCCTCGTGTTTGCAACGCTCGTTCGACTAAATACATGCCCGGATAACTGGTCTTGTTCAGCTCTTCGGTGTAAAACAAACCACGTATTGGATCGCCTTGATAGTCTTCTAAATAGTATGTTGGCGGTACTGTTTGCCTAACCTTGACTACGATAAACAGTTCAGTGCTCCAGTTTGGTAAGTAACCCTTATCAAACACTGATTTATGTACACTGATCCGCACCTTGTCGCCCACACGAAATTTTACCGGTAAATTATCCGGTATTTGACGTAACTTGAACCGAACCAGGTCTGGGTTTTTCACCGCTTGCATCGGTGTCATTCCGATTGTTCTATGTTTACGCACGTTATTGTAGTCGTGCAACAGCGCAGACAACCGATTCACCCATTTGTACGAGCCACGTGCACTAAAGTCACGCCACATTGCGTTTTTCAGCGTGCGGTTAAAACGTTCCACTAGACACGCTTTCATCGTGGAATAANTCACTAGACATGCTTTCATTGTGGAATAAGTAGAGTAATGATTAATTGCGTATTGTGACATCAGTTTTTGAAATTGTTTATTGTAAAATTCTTTACCATTGTCCGTTTGCAAAAGCTTAGGATGACGACCATGTTTCAGTATTCCGTTCATGGCTGCGGTAACTTCGTTGGCCGNATTCGTGGCTGCGGTAACATCACCTGCCGTTTTATTTTTTAACGGGACGGCCCACGCGTATTTTGAAAATCCATCGACTTTTTTCTTGTTGTTCAATCTCAATTGTAGACCCGCACCGATAATGGATGTATCACTGATGTTGCTGCTACTGCTTTCAAACAACGGTAAGTAATTGTTTGCGTTACCACCATCACCGTTATCAAACAATGGTTTAATGGTGTTTACATACTTTTGACCTCCTTTTTTCAATGTTCCGTCTTTATTTAAATGCACACCGGTTTTGACGAGAATCATTTTGTACGCATACAAATCCGATTCGGAGAAAACACCAGGGTTTTTCGAAAACAGTAAATCCACAAGACCCATAGTGAGCGGGAATTTTTCATCTAAAACATTAATTGTTCCTTTGTTGAGAATGATATTGTCTGCTTCATCTAATGCCATTGTTCTATCCGGTGATACCTTTGGTCCATACATTTTATCTCTGTTGGGATTCATTGACCATTGATACATGTACTGATGGAAAAACTCGTCATCGTGTTCCACAGTGTATCTATCATCGTTTAAACTTTTGATAGTTTGCTGTAATTGTTGTTGTTTTTGCTGTTGTTGTTGTTGCTGTGACGCAATTTTATCTAATGGTTCAATGATTAGCGCCAACTGACGTTTTACGCGAGTCAACGAAACCGCTTCGCCACGACGCAATTCTGTGTACTTTTTTTGAACATTTTCCCGGGCTTCAGTCAACAGTTTCAGCAATGTTTCCTTATCGGCATTCATATTGTAACAAATGTGTCAAACTTGTATCTGTATCGATCGTCGTCCGTCGCAAAGTCCAAACAAATCACTGCAAATCCGTACCGATCCTTGTTCCAACACTCTTTGCAAAACTCTTTGAATTCTCCAAATTTCATATCGCAACACACGTATTCATCGTACGCGTGTCGTAGATTAACTTCATCCTGCCGGAACAACACCACCACATTTGTGTTATCACGTAATATTTGTTTTTGTATGCGCGACAGTGTTTGAGAGAGAAAAAATACATCAATTTGCCTGTGTCGTCCTCGCGCGAAATAATCACACATTGCATTTTGTTTTTCCATGACTACATCGTCGAATATAAAAACCGAATTGGGCAGGATGTTGTCCACCGACGGTACATCGTCCCCGTTTTCATAGATAAACAACTGCACTCCTTGGACACCGCGTAAAACATTTACGAGTAGTTGATACTTGCACTGATGCAACGATTTCGAGTAAACGTAAACATTTTCAAATCGAAGTCCCTTGATATCGGTCAGTAGAGTAAACATCAAGTTTGTTTTTCCACAATTTGACGGTCCGCAAATCAATGCACGTATTTTGTTTGGCAATAGTTTACCGTGTTTACTAGGTGCAATCTCACTACTTTTCTCAAAATTCATGATAGGTAGCGTGAGAGTCTGTTTTTTGAAACGCATCGCAAGTCATCGAACAATAACCGTCAATATAAAAATAATGATTAAACAGAGACAACGTGGAAAACGAGGTGCAGGGATATTGAATACTGTAATCAACCAATTACCATTCGAAGCCCACATACCAGTTGTGTGTGTGTGTGTAAAATTAACATTTTACGTACAGACTTTATCTAAATATATGCATGTCGCATATTAAAATAGCGGATTCGACATTTCAAATTCATACTTTTCACCGTAACCGTATAGCTTACCTGGAAAACGCATTTTTTTTTCGTCAAAAAACCGATATTACGTATATACTATATGGCCGAGCATAATTTAGGCGCGCGACAAGTTGTGTTAGTTAACGTCGTGTTTCATTACCCCCCTATCATAAGATTTGGTGGAAGAGGAGAGGTTCCTCACTTGCCTTAGGTTAGTTTACGTTGGGTTTTGTCATCGCGTTTCCCACCCATTGCATTATGTTAGTTTACGTTGGATTTATTCTTTGCATTATTGCATTGGAGTGGGTGGGTCAAGCGGGGGGAAGTAAAATCCCCTATATTACCCTACTAATAAAATCAGAACAGTAGTAGCCAATAGTGCTAATAATTGTTTAGCAAAAAAAAAAATAAAATGTTTAATGATAGATGCGAGGAAGCAATAGAAAAGAGAAATAGCGTTATCAATGACCCGAGTGACATAAACATAGAAAGATATAAAAACATTAAAATAGAAACCAGTAAAGTACTAAGATGTGATGAAAGATTGACAGAAAAAAGAAAGATTGGAGAAATTGAAGAAAATAAAAATAACCCCAGAAGATTCTTCAACAAGACTGCAAACATTAAATGGTGATATAATCAGCAGACGAGGATTTTAAGGAATGAATTAGGTGAGTTAGTGACAAAAGAGGAATCAGAAGTAGAAGAATTAAAAACACATTTTGAGTGTCTTCTAAATAAAACATCACCAACATCAATACACGAACAAATAGATATGCAATATAGTATGGCGGAACCATATATTGAAATCCCAACGAAACGGGAAATCTATAACATCATAAAAAAAATAAAAAACAACAAATCACCTGGAGAAAACGATATAGTAGCGGAATAACTAAAAGATGGATGAGAAACGATTAAAAATTAAATTTAGAAAATGATTAAGGTAATTTGGTAAACTAAAGTAATGTCAGGAGAGTGGCAATACTATGCCCAATGTTTAAAAAGAGGGTCACAATTGATCCAAAAAATTACAGAGGAATACCTGTTATAAAAAATTGTCCACGGTTCTTTTGGAAAGAATAAAATAACACCGTACGCAGAGGACATCATAGGAAGATACCAAAGTGAGTTTATAAAGAGGAAATCCACCGTCGATCACATATTTACCTTAAGACAAACAATGGAGAAATTCTATGAGTTTGATAAGGACCTATATATGATATTTGTTGACTACAAACTAGCTTATGATAATGTGAATAGACAAGAACAATGGAAAGCAATAATACATTTTGGAATTCCACAAAAATATGTAAATTTAGTAAAAATGTGTAATGACAAAACGTTACTTAAAGTACATTTTCTACAGAGATTATCGCCAGCCTTTGAAGTTATTTCAGGATGGAGAAAGGGAGATGGTTTATCCCCAACATTGTTAAACCTGGGGCTAGCAAAAGTTAAAAGAGAATCTTATGAAGGCCGAAAAATAGAAGTTATTGGTAAGGAAGCTGTTTTAGCATATGCTGATGACATACGTCTTTTAGGGAATACGCAAGAAGAAGTTACCCACTCACTTTCTAAACTAATAGAAGCCAGCAAAAACATGGGTTAATGTATCAACGAAGAAAAGACTTAACTTATGATATTATCTAGAAAAAATGTAGACCAGTCAAACTTAAAAGTGGGAAGTTTAACTTTTGAAATGGTGGATATTTTTAAATACTTTGGTGTTAATATAAACAGCAGTAACAACATGCATAGGAAAATAAAAGAAAGAATATCGAATGGAAACAGGTGTTACATTAGCATAAACAAGCTATTTAGATCAAATCTGCTATGAAGAAAGTAAAAAATTACATTGTACACAAGTTATCTTAGGCCAATTGTAACTTACGGATGCGAAACTTGGTCCACGATAAAAGATGACAATAGAAAACTTGCAAAAGGAAAGAAAAATATTAAGAAATTATATGGACCAGTGTACAATGACAATCTAGGAATCTATGAAAAGAGACACAGTGAAGAGCTGTATGACTTATATGGAAAACCAGATATACTCACATTTATAAGATGTAAACGTCTAGAGTGGCTGAAAAATGTATGGAGAGCTAATGTAAATGTATTAAAAAGAGTTTTTATAGGAAAAATAAATAAAAAACGTCCACTTGGAAGACCAAGAACAAGATGGAAAGACACCGTAGGAAAAGATATGAGACTGATAGACGAGCATGCAACATTAGACTGGACTTTTGACAGAAAAAAATGAAGAGGCTTACTAGTGGTCCTTAATGGACCGTTAAGCAGTTGAAGAAGAAGAAGAAGAAAAAGCTATTGTTGGAGGATCGAACAGTTCTAAAAAAATAAATGAGAAAATTTTAGGAAATTGAAGAAGTATCAAATAAGAAGACTCTCGACCAGGAAGAAAAGTTATGTGTTAATTATTTTAACCGTTCAGTAAAAAGAAGTAATGTAAATGATCGTTTCATAAACGAACTACCGTTCCGTGTAAAGAAAAAAACGATTAGCGAATAATTCAGATTTAAAAATGCGATATGTAGAATTCATGAATGAGTATGAACAATTGGGTCTCATATGTCAAAAGAAAGTTCTAAAATGGATCAGGTTTCAGAAATAAATTCATATTTTATACCTCATCAAATCATTATGTGATGACAAAGTTACAAAAAAAACGCGCTTTGTGTTTGATGCGTCATGTGCCACCACCAATGGTAAAAGTTTAAAAGATATTTTGTTAAAAGAACCTATAATAAAGGACGAATTGCTGTGTATTTTGTCACGTTTCCTAACTCATAAATACATGTTATCGTCGGACATAACAAAAATGTACTGTCAAATCTTTGTGGCTGAAAAAGACCGCAAAAGGCAAAAAATATTGTGGTAACCTGAACCATCTGAAAAAAAAATGAGAATTATTATCTTAACACGTTAACTTATAGAACTACACACGCGTGTTATATTGCTATGCGTGCTTCGAAAAATTAGCATATGAACATTTAAATAAATATCCGTTAGCTAGCCAAGCTATTAAAGAGGATTTTTACAAGGACGATTACTTAGGTGGAACTAGTTCAATATCTGAAGCAATTATAATTCGAGGCGATGTAATAAAAATAATGAATAGCGCCGGATTTCAGCTAAGAAAATTGATATCAAATAATAAGTGATTATTTTCAAACATACTGAACGTCGTTAATGACTCACTGATAGTATTAAATTTAGACGGCAACACTACAAAATCTTTAGGCCACTGTTAGAACCCAATAAATGACACTTATCAATACAAGGTGAATACGGAAATCAATAATAACGAAAAGAGACGTGTTGTCGACAATAGCTCCAATATATGATCCACTTGGTTTAATTGATACGGTTATTATTAATGTTAAAATAATAATGCAAGAGTAGATGTACCAGCACCAGATAGAGTGGGACGACGTAGTACCTGTCTCGATAAAGACCGAGTGGGAATTTTATGGGGAAAATTTATCATACATTGTTTTCATAACAATACCAAGGCTTATCATCAACCGTGAAAACGTCGAATTGCAAGTACACGATTGCGGATGTCTCAGTACGTGCATAAGAAGCTTGTTTATACCTTAGAGCAACGGACCGTAATGGCGTATGTGCGATACGTTTAATAGCACCCAAATCTCGAGAGGCTCCACTAAAATTAATATCATTAGTTCGTCTCAAATTATGTGCCGTAGTGTTATTAGTACGTCTGTATGAAAAATTAGAGCCTCGTTTACAAGTTAATATAAATAAAAAACGTTTCTGGCCTGACTCAACCATAGTTCTATCGTGGATAAAGTCTCATGCGTCACTTTGGAAAACGTTTGTTGCGAATTGAGTAGGGGACATTTATAAAGCTAGTTCTATAAATCAATGGTTTTACGTCCCATCTACACAAATCCTAGTGGATATTATATCACGTAGCTATCAAGCAAATGAATCACGCAATGAACTGTGATGGAATGGTCTAATATCGGATTAATCTAGACAAGAACGTCTGGCCATCAAGCCCAGAAAAGGTCGACATTGAAGCAACTAAGGATAGACAGGTATTTTTTACAGTACCGTCGAACGAAAAGGATTTTTTTTTACTAAATAAGTTTTCCTATTTTATGAAATTAATACTCGTTACCGCTTACCTATTACGGTGAAAAGGGGTGTCATTGAAAAAATAAAAACCTAGTTTGAAATTAAAGTAAATAATCTAAACAACGAAAAAAAAACTTTAATAAAAAATTGTTCAAAATTTGTATTTTAAAGAGGATTTAATAAAATTAAGATGTAAAGAAATAGTTAAACCGAACAGTAAATTATATTTTCTTAATACATTATTAGATAAAAAACGGTGTAATTCACGTTGTAGGGCGTCTAAAAAATGCTACGTCACTTCTGTACAGTAAGAAGAATCCAATAATTCTCCCGTCTAAATCAAATATATCTATGTTAACCTTTGAGCACAAACATATCTAATTGATTCTCGCTTTCAGTCGCTTTTAGCAGCCGTGCTAGAAGAGTACTGGCCACTGGGCGGACGAAAAACGGCAAGAATAACAGATAAGAATTGCATTGCCCGTTTTAAATCCGAACCCAATGTATATCGTCCAATAATGGGTGATTTACACGAGTGGACGTTTATGATATAGTATTTTATGCAAATGGTGTCGATTTTGCGTGTCTTGTGCTAATAAAGAGTAGTATGCGCCGTAACGCTAATAAACTAAAAGCGTATAAATGTATTTTCGTTTGCTTTTCCTCAAAGGCTACCCATATTGATCTTAACACTGAATCATTTTCGGGTACAATACAAAGATTTTGGAGTCATCGAAGAGTAGGTCGCTATTTGTATGTGATCTAGATACTCAATAATGATAATTGTTGCTACAATAATTATGTTATATTCTTAACCATACTGATTGATTAGTATAAGCAATGAAATTTTGTAGCAGTTATTAAATGTCTAGTTATGACAAATAGAAATGTTAGCACTGCTGTAATCTCTAGGAATTTCAGATTTCTGAATGGTTATGGAAACTATTAACTAGGAAAAGGTGCATTAATTTATGCGTTACATAAAAATAGAATGACAATAACAACAAAATCATTTGGATAGCCAAAGTGTATGCAATTCGTGGCGCGATGACACTATACAGCTATTGTGTGCGTTTAATCTATACCCTCGTTATTTTAAAAGATTTAATCATCGTACTAATATAAAAATGTAGTTAAAAAAAAGAATAATATTAATGGTTAAAGTGAAATTAACATAAAATGTTTTGTAATAGTGAATATAATTTGTAAATTTTTTGAATGTAAATTGATACAAATATAGATTTTTACTATAAGTTTCATAAAAATTTCTACAAGATTCAATTGATAATTAATAATCAATTAATTGATATTTTTTAAAATATTATTTTCAAACAAACAACGAAGATTAATTTTTCTATGAGCATCGGTTGGATTCACATCAATTTGCTGTTGAGAAATTGTGTTGTGATTATTTATGGTATCGTTGTGTTACATCGAGTTGTTATCGGTCTTCTCCCTATTTCTGCATTGTCGCCGCCATCTTAGCGTTTTTCAGATATAAACTCTATGGTACTTGCAAGCTAGTAGTAGTTTAAAAAAAAAAAAAACAAAAAAAAAATTAAAATTAAAATTTGAACACAAAAATAGAATTTTTTTTAACTGCCGCAGCCATTTCCATAGGTCGTCAGGACAATTTTTTTGTTTAATTTATAGTGCGTGACATAAGCTTAAATTTGACACATTTTTTAAAAATGCTAAGCTTTTCAGCTTAGTAAAAATCAAGGGGACCGAGTTAAATTTTTGCCCCTAATGTAAAAAATAGTTCTGGCGCTACTGATTGATCCTATCAATATTCAACATTGTCATTAGCAGTTTCATTTAGCCGATAAGTATAATGATTGTTCATCTTCTTTGTAAGACTTTCTAACATTTATATTTTAATATTTGTTTATATCAGCGCCATTTTGGCATTAGTATTAAGTGTCCCCCTATCCACATTGGTGTATATAAGATTTTATGATTCATGTATAATACATTTAATTGTTATAATTATATATTGTAAAATTCATTCTACATTCATTAATACAGTCCACTCACATTATTTCTTATCCTCGACATAGCCAAAGACTTAAGACAAAATAAAACCACGAACGTTAATGAAGCTACGTGAATATCATTGGGCGCTGAGTTCATTCAGCATCAATATGTTAAAATGCAAAATTTTTACAAGTTTGTTGGCAATCCAATTAAAAACTGTTAATTAATTATTAATTTTTATTTTATTTAATGCTTCAATTATAAAATCTTAAATCGTAAAGTATTTAATTATATAGTTTAATAGTTTTAATTTAATATTTGCTAACACTAATTTTATATCACCCAGAAAAGAAATACTCAATCAGTTATAGATTTGTGATATATCCTGCGTGTGGATTACAAGTTTGTAATGGTACAGTTTAGATGAAATGTTGTAAATGTACTATTATTGTATGATTACTCGTATTATTGTATAATATGCGGCAACATCGTGTGGGACTTTTGCATTCGCGTTATGTGGTGGCGGCGCTGGAAAAATGTTGTCATGCCTAACAAAGGGATAAAAAGATAAAATAATTGGTTGGTTATGTTTTAAAAAAGAAATGAAATACGTAATGATATCTATGTATTAAAAAATGAACACTTGTTTTTCGTTTTCTCTCAAAATAAAAACTAACAAGTAACAATAAGATTTTTCATGATGAATTAAATGGAAATATCAACAAACTATATTTGAGAGAACAGCGAATAAATACGCACGAATATCAACTATATTTGAACTCCTACATCAATGAACACTGCATCACCAGTACAACTGAAATTAAGGTTAGAAATATAACTACCACTAATCGTACACATACTAAATAGTACATAGAAATGAATATGTTTATTTTTGTATATATTGATATTTATATAAATTTTTAAATTGTTGTTTAATACAGAAACGAATAAATACTTCTAATGTTAACGAATTGTAATCAAAACCAATTTTTAATTTGTAAAATAAATTAAATACCATTTCAAGATACTTCTCTAATTGAAGTCATATAATTGACAGAATTAGATATATATTAAAATAGATTTCAATTAATCCAAAGCTATAAACATATAAATTAACATTATTTTAGATTCCTTAATTGAAGACAAAATAAAATTATACAGTCTTGATACCCAAATATATTACTTTCAGTAATATATCAATGTAAATTTTTTCTTCTCTTTATGTTTGTAAAATAGCGAAAATGTACGTATTTTACTTATTTAATGCTTCATTATTTCATTATAATATTAATATTGCAATCATCTACCATACCTCTGACAAAGCATTTTGTAGTTATGTTTTAGCTTTAATGCGAAGCTGAGAAGGTATTGGTTTTACTATGATGTGTTTTTTTTTTTTTGTGTCCACTTTTTCTCAGCTTTCAACGAAACGTCAAAAGATCATAAATCGTATCTAGTCGAAGACATTACCCTCAAAAATTGAAAAAATTTCCCTCGTTCCCCGTGAATGGATGAAACCTCCAAAAAAATTACAAATTTAAAAATCTCCTTATTTTCGAAATTTTTTCATTTTTTTTTACTAAAAACTGCCGTAACTTTTTTAAAAATGTACATATCAATATAATTTTTTTTTATAGTTGCTTAATATTTTTACCTATCATTTGGCACATATTTTTTATAAATCTAATCCTTTATCTGCCCACAGGGGGCGATTTAAAATTACAACTTTTTCACAAAACATTTACTTTTTCAACTTGACTTTTGAGAATGTTCAAGAAACTCGGACACTTTAATATAGATCTTAAATGAAAGCTATTGTAATGTTATTTATAATGCAAAAATAAATTTCGGACTTTATTTTGTCTTCACGGTGAAAACAAACACAATATTAATAAAAAAAAAATACGATTTTTGTAAAAAAATTCTTATTTATATTTTTGACTTTATAATGTTATAACTTTTTGAAAAATGAATGGATCTATAAATTTTTTTTTATAAATGCATGATGTCTTTATCTATTATTTGGTATATTAGTTTATAAATCGGACCGTTTACCTGTCTACAGGGGTGGATTCAAAATTAGCATTTCCACTATTTGGACTCAACGCTAAATTAATTATTCTAAGTAAACATTTAATAAAATGTATATATTTAATATAAAATAAAAATAGAAAAATTTTCAATTACAACTATTTATTTTATTGAATCCTAAACAATCATATTCACTTGTAGTAGCAACATCATAAAATGTTCTAAATTGATCCAATGCGTATTCAAACAAAAGTATTGGTTTTTCATTAGTGTTTATCGTATTATATGATGTAATGAATGTGTCCCATGATTTTATTAATTGTCTTTTTTTAAAAACTTCGCCTTCAATCAAGCACCGTTTACTGGAATAATATTTTTGTTTATATAGCATTTGATTAAATTGTTTTCGCGCTGTTTTAAAATCTAATAAGAATTTATTGGCTTTTGATATTACTTCCTTGGTAGATAAATTGAAAAAATCATTTCTCGTTAAAGAAAGCTGTTCAATTTTGGGCATAAAATTACTTAATAAAGTATAAGTTTGTACTAATGATGATTGTGTATTATACATATATTCCCAAATTGATTCAGCTTTTAATATGTCTAAAGCTAACAACATGTTTTTAAACATTTCTTTTGAATTTTTAACCGCATCAAGAAAGTTTACAATGCAATTTATAATACTATATACATTTTTTTTACTGATTTCAATTTTACATATTTCTATAATAGTAGACATATACGTGTTATATTTTTTTAATACTTCAGTATATCTGCACCTTATCAGCTGTGTAAAGAATTTTTTTTTTAGATTAAAATTAAAATTATCTACAGTGTCTCTAATAATTCGATCAGTAGTGATTATTTCATCATCAATTATTATTTTTATATGATTTAATAGCTTCCAATGTCTAATTTCACGGAACAAAATATTTAGTGTTTGGATTGCTTTTTTTTGAGTCAAGTTGTATTTTTGAGGGGGTGTGAGCCTTAAATAAAAAAAACATCTGTATTATTCAGTTTATTTAAATATAATTCTTATAGTGAGAAAACAAAGTTTTTACTAAAAATAACACTTACTCAGTTGTACTAGGATGAAGTAATTCATGGAAACCAATTTTTAAATAATAGTCAGTTATTGTTTGTAANTACAATATTAAATTTTAAATGGTTTGTTCTATTGAAAAATACAATTTTAGTGAACACAATTTAATATCAGTTAAAAAATTTTAATTATGTTGTTGTTGTATATCGTCTTCGCCTAGCGTAGATACCAAAATACATACAAAAACAAACGAATTATTCTCTTTAATGTTAATCGCGTTTCTATGACTTTTTCCCAGTATACTTGTGGGAATACGCTCAGTCCAAAATTTAGTTAAATTATTCTAAATTTAGTAAGTCACTAAATGGTTACCTGTACACTAGAGTGACCATTTTTAGAAAAAAACAAACATTTTTTACATTCCCCACTCAAAAATAAGTGCATTTTAAAACATAATTATAAATTTAAAACATTTATTTTAAAAAATTAGATGATAATTTGATACTCCTTTTTTACGCTTTTTCCTCATTTTGTACTTTTCTAAATAATTCATTGAACAATTTTGGGAGCTTCAAAAAAAATTCATAAAATTGCGAACAAGTTAAATATTTAAAGTGTTGTTTCGCAATAATTATGGATCTAATAGTTTTGATATTAAAACGGGTTTTTTCATTTGTCCATAACACATTTGTTCCAAAAATATTCGTTCTACACATGCATTTTTTCAGGTAAAGCTAATGAATATTCTAAGTTGTTGAATATTTACTGATAAAAATATTATTTTTTTCTATCGTTTTAAATACATCACGCCACTTTTCTGTGATTTTTTTAGAACAATTTTTCAACTTTACAATTTTAATTTGTTGGCATGATTTACATAATTATATTCATCAAATAACTTATCCTCATTCACATTCCAATCAAGGTTGACTTTTTTATTATTAAATAAATATTTAATCTTGGTTATAAAATGAGTCAAGAGATTTTTGTCTATTAAATATTCATTTATTTAAAATTTATATTGGAAAAAAATTCTTTGTAGTTTTTGAAATATGAGATCGATCAATAAGATATACAATTTTTTATTACTAACTTCAAAATATAGTCAGTTTTACAGTATTTCACACCAAATTTTGAGTTATGAAATACTTTTTTTATTGTTCATAATTTAAAAAAACGGTAGCACAGTTGGGTCGAGGCATATATGGGACAAGTATAGATGATTTCTGACAGTGATTAAAATCACTATCATAAGAAACGCTTCGATGCAAATCTGTAGATAGTGTTTCCTTTAGAGAAATTGGTGAAATATTTTAAAAGCAACATGAACTCTTATTTCTTTAATTATATCCTGATTAGTAGTTCTTTGATTTTAAAATATAATATATGAATAAATACTAATTATAGTTTTTAAATTTAGTATGAAATTGTNATCCCCCCAATGAGCAGGTTAAGTGTTAGATTTTCAAAAAAATGATATCAAATGAAAGGAAAATATCTAAGGTTTTAGTATAAAAAAAAATTTTGTTGATTTGTTTATGTTTGAAAAAGTAATGGAATTTTTAAAAAAAAAAGTGAAAAAAATGACAAAATTTTACAATTTGAAATTTGTAATTTTTTTGAATATTTCCCCCATTTGCGGGGAACGAGGGAAAATTTTTCAATTTTTAAGGGTAATGTCTTCAACTAGATACGATTTGTGATCTTTTGACGTATTGTTGAAAGAAATCGGTCCAGTGAGAGCTGAGAAAAAGTGGCAACAGACATAAAAAAAAAAAAAATNGTGAGATCTGAGAAAAAGTGGCAACAGACAAAAAAAAAAACACATCATAGTAAATTTAATACCTTCTCAGCTTCGCATCGAAGCTAAAAACTCCACAAAAAAACTGATGTAAAAATTAATAAAAATAATTTTCAATTATAAATTCGTTATTCAAACTCCAATATCACAAAGTTGAAACAATAGAAAATACACTATCTGGTATTATTATATCTGTGATAATAGTATGAAATGGAAACATACATTCTTATTTTATGCATTAAAATAGGTATTTTGTGAAGATTTGAGATTTTTAAAACATTTTTACTTGTCGCTCAACATGTTTTTAGTATTTTGACCAAAAATTTGCAAAAAAACACTAAATGGTCTGTTATTTAATATTCGTTCAGATATTACGATTAGTATATCAAATAGTTTGATTTTTACTGCAGAGTTAAAATTTTCAAATAAAAAATTGAATATCGTAATTAACGTGATTATTTGGTATATTTCTCAAGTAGGTCTCAAGTATGATTAAATTTTTGCAGTTTGTCTATTATTTATGTATATAATAAGAAAAAAAATATTTATCACTAATCTTAAAAACTTATACCTTTTTTAAAAATAAAGTATAAGCTAGAATATATGATATTCTTGAAATTATTTATAAATGACGGTTTAAATACTTTTAAATTAATTTTTTTTATCAAACAATTCATTTAGTTGGATTTAATTTGATTTATTTATATAATTATTTTAATATTCTCAGTTCAATATCTTCAAAATTATTATCTTTTATATCTGTAGTCGATCGGAGATTTCTAAAGAAAATTTTATTATATTCTTAAGTTTTAGTACTAACAGCTGGTTTGAAATAAATAATTTATTTTCTTTGTTTAACAAATTGATTTCTAAACAATTAGCGATTTATATATAAAAAACAGTAATTAATAATGACTTCCGAAATTTAATTTTTTTTCAATTTTAAACAGTAGTATTTCTTTTTTAACTTAATTCACTTCTTATAGAGAGGTTTTATTTGTGGAACGAGTTTACATCTAAGTGTTATGGGGCCGTCAGTTTTCGATCATACCCGTATTAATTTTTGGTCAAAATACTAAAATCTCGTTAAGCGACCAGTAAAAATGTTTTTAAGTCTCAAATCTTCACAAAATTACTATTTTAATGTATAAAATAAAGTTAAAATGATTCTCATTAAAATTTCGAAGATCGACTTTTTTTGATCCACCCTAACCTCTATGTTCTATTGAGAATACAGATTTACATACGGTATACTGAAATTTTTCTATTTCATCGGTTTCTCTTAAAACAGGAAACTATATTTTCAATGTTGTATTGAAACTACACCGTCTCTTGGGCATATTAAGTATTATTTTTTAAAGTTAAAAAAAAAAATGATTATCTTAATTTAGCACAGTAAAACCCTTACAGTATACGATCGATGGGTACACCGGTACGCGACAAATTCAAAATATAAAAACGACCTCGCGAGATGACCATCTGTCAGTATCAACCGACAAATAACAATTAAAAACGATAAATGTCTCAGAGATGGAAGGAACCAGAAAATGTTAAAACATTTGTCGTTCGGATTTTCGGTTAAACGAATGTAAATTATATTATTTAATATCACTGTTTGTAAATAGTACAGCAATTTGTAATTATTGATAGAGCACGTTTCATATAATTTATCCCATGCTTATCGCTAATTTTATTGTTTGTCGTCATCGGCACTCGACCCTCATTCCACGAAAACTGTCATCTGTTATTAATAACATTATTTTCATATATTATTAATAAAAGTGTTTTATATTTGTTTCAAAAATTTACTTTTTTTCTCATTTATAAATATTAAGTAATAACATGGTAAGAACGGTATTATAACGGAACTGTTTTCTAAAAACGGGATAAAAAGCGTCCTGTTTGTATTTTGCCGAGACAACGGGTTATCAAAAAAGGGACAATCCTATTTTAAACGGGACGTATGGTCACCCTATTGTAGACACGTCGGCACAGTGTAACCAACTCGTGAATATAAGACTGAAAAATGACTCCTTATTAGACACCTGGCTAATTGCGATTAACATTATCGATTATTTTTGTAATATAATACAAAATATCTTATAAAATTAAATAGTTGTGTACAGTGTACGTGTAATAGTATCATGAGTTACTACTAAGTCTTGTGCAATATTGATTTACACATTTACTGTGTTTGTTTAGTTCATTTACGTTTCTATAATTACAATCTAAAAGGTACGTTCAAGTTTATTTAACATTTGTTTTGTCGGTATCTCGACATATATTTTGTGATATATAGCAAAACGCAAACATTGGGTTATTATATTATTGCTGGTAATACGGCATTGATGGACAGTACGAGAAAACACTTTAAAATTAAATTATATTAATTGATTATACAATATATATATTATGTTATATTCTTTTTCAAAACAAAATATAATTTCATTTCAATCAAGTACAATGTACATAATATTTTATTATTTAGTATGTATTGGAACAATAATTAGCTAAACTGCAATTATTGCAGTTTATCTACCGCACGATTTATTCAATTTTTTTTTTTTTTTTTGAAACCCAAAATATTATTAAATATTTAATTAAAATGGGAAAATAGCTTTCGGGAACACCAAATAGAAAACGAAAGGTAGAGGAAATCATTGCTAAAAAAATATAAAAATAGCATAAAAAAATTCATTATACCCATTGATAACAAACAAAAAAAATCTAAAGTAATTATTGATTCTGAGTTAACTGATAGTGTTGCCTATAACACAAAAACCTAGAGTAGGCCCAAAAAAAAAGAAATTTAAACACAACATGATGAATCCTTATTTGACGTTGACTTAGATGTTCTAAATGAAAGTACTATTTGTGATGTCAGTTATTTAGAAAATCTAACCGAGTGGCCATTATCAATAAATATGAAACGTGTCATTATCGATATAATAATAATGATGGGGGCAAAAACAATATTTGAAAGTATATCTTATTTGCTAGATAAGCTTAAAATTAATTTTTCTAATTTCATGTATATCGTAATTGTGAAAATGATGAACAGATTAAAAGGCAATTTATTTTAAAAATCTGACAAATTATATGATTTTTACTGCAAACTATTCAAGCTAGATTTTGGAACATTGTTAAGTAACAGTGGTTGTAATGTTTGAAAGCATATAGGGTACTAGGCTCCACCTATCTGGGGCTCCACCCAAGACCCAGATTGAGGCGCGTAAGCCTCTTCGGGCCGTCATCATAAAAATGCCACCGATTCCTGTAGGGGTACCCGGCTATGCCGGGCACGATAAGTGTTTTGCAAAAAAATATATTACATCGGAATCAGTGTAACAAAAATATATTAAAAATTTTATTATTAAAATCAGTAAAATTCAAAAAGAGAATATAGTAAAATGTATTGGGTATAAGGTTGACGTTTGTTAATGAGATACTCCTTTTAGGTCTATTCAAAAATTATTTTAGGAGGGTATTTAATATTTTTTACTTTGTTAAATATGTTATAGAATTTTTTTTGCTAAAAATTAAAGTAATGATGAAAAAAAAGGACAATAGGTCCTTATTTATTAGAAATTGCTTAAAAAAATATTGATAGCGCTGGATCAAGGGGTGCTCATATCTCCCTTAAATACATCCCTAGTATACACAAAAATTATTAATATTCTATTTATAATAATTGTGTTTATATTATAGAATAATTAAAAAAAAATTCAGTAGGTTATTATACGTGGGACTATGTAAAAAAATTAATTTTGATAAAAATATTGGTAACTGCGATTTATCGTTGGACAGCATAGTTTTCATAGATGAATCCCAATTTAAACGATAAAATCATAGATTCATACATCATATATGAGAAAAAAAGATTATTAATGTACCGTTCTGATAATGAAAGTACAAACTTATATAATTATAACCGTCTTGAAATTTATATATAACATATAATATTCCTCGATAAAATATAGTGCTATGTTCAAATGCAAAATAGTGTCCCAATAAAAATACATATTACACCATATAATTAAGGCTCATAAAAAAAACATATAAACAGAAATGAAACAATGCGCATATTAAAAAAACATGCGCGTGAAAAAAAAAAAAGCTTGTAAAATAGTGAAAAATAAACAGATTGAATTGATTTTTTTATCATATCTCAGGAATGTCATTGGGCGAGTCTGATAAAAATTTCAAACCTTAATTCGTAAAACGTTGGCGTCAGCAAGTGTTTTTCTCAAAAACGGTCGAAATTTTAAAACGCTCGCGGACGAGCGGCAAAAATTTTCCGATCTTCACTAATAATTTTTTTGGAGTCTGGTGACCGAGTGCTTTCGTTGAAAAAAAAAATTTTGAAAATCCGAGCACGCTAAGTAATTTTTCCAGAAAAGCGTTTTTTTCCTTGTTCTATTATATAATAAGATATATTAAATGTTAGTAAAAAATCCACAGATAATTTTATTACTACTAGTATATGGATTAAATCTCAAAACCGTCTAAAAAAAAATGTGTTGTGTAGATGCTTAAAATAAACGTATATATGATCAGGAAAGTCTTCGCTGACCAAAAGTTTTTGATCGGTTAATATAATTAGAAGTACATTTGATAAATTATTTCAACCAAATAGAGGACACTTTTTAGGCTTAGTTCAGCTACATAGTATATACGATGATTTTATGTCAAAACATTTACGTTACTTAACTAAAAAATTGGGGAAAATATATTACTTTATTCATGAAATTCAAAATAAATTTAATGGCTAATAGCGTTAATGATATTATTATAGCTAATCTTCACGAGACAAAATATTATTCAATTGTTAAAGATTGTTTAAATTATATTATTACTTGTAGACATTCTGGACATAATTCAGTTGTTTCATTTGCTAAAAACATTACTAAAACTTAAAACGTAGAAACGATTTCTAATTTACCAGAAAACTTTATATGGATTTACATAATACACATAAAAATCAAGATCAAAATGACATAAACGGAATAGATTTATTCGCTGAGTTAAAATATATTACAACTCTATAACTAAAAGACGTGTCTTCTTTAAAAGTAGTATTGAAATATATATTATAGTCTAATACATACAATCTATTACCAAACACTTGTATATCCTTAAGAATTTTATTAATAATTTCTGGTACTATTGTCATTGGCCAGAGAAGTTTTTCGAAAATAAATCTATAAAAGCATATCTGTGTTTAACGCAGATAGGGTTTAAAATAATACATTCTATAAATGTAGTACAATATGCATAAGAGATGTTTTGAAATATGATTGTTGAAGTTGGTAAAGAAACCATCAAATTATAGTACTTTAATTTAATTTAATTTCAAATAAAACTACTACTATATATCGCACCCCTAGAATATAATCGGCATAACTCAGAAATAGTAATTACCAAAAAAATGCAATTAAAGATTTTAAGAATTTTCAAAACCGTCTAACAATACCAATTTTTATGATATTTCGACTTTTTTTGCTTCGATGCGAAGCTGAGAAGGTATTGGTTTTACTATGATGTTTTTTTTTTTTGTGACTGTTACCATTTTTTCTCAGCTCTTATCGAACGGATTTCTTTCAACGATACGTCAAAAGATCACAAATCGAATATAGTCGAAGACATTACCCTTTAAAATTGAAAAAATTTCCCTCGTTCTCCGTAAATTGGGGAAACCTCCAATAAAATTACAAATTTAAAAATCGCTAATTTTCGAAATTTTTTCAATTTTTTTTACTAAAAACTACCGTAACTTTTTCAAAAATTAACATATCAATATAATTTTTTTTTTTTATAGATGTTTAATGTCTTTACCTATCATTTGGTATATTTTTTTTGTAATTTTGACCCTTTACCAGCCCACAGGGGAGACTCAAAATGACAACTTTTCACAAAAATTAACTTTTTCAACTTAACTTTTGAAAATGTTCCGAAAGATCTGACACTTTTATATATATCTTAAATTAAAGCTAGTGTAATATACTTTAATTTGAAGAAAAAAAAATTTGACCTCTGGACTTGTCTTCATGGTGAAAATGGCTACCGAATGCTATTTTTGTGTGAAAATTCTCGATTTTATTTTTTACATTTTTTACTTTAAAGTGCTATAACTTTTTAAAAAGTGTATGGATCCACACAATTTTTTTATGAGAAATAATATTTTTTAATAAACCCTTTTTCATTCGACATTCTTTATCTTAATCAAGATATTAATAAGGAACATCAATTTTTTTAAAATTAAACACTATTTAAAGATTTGCATCGAAGCGTTTATTTTTGATAGTGATTTTAATCACTATCAGGTATCATTATACTTGATCCAACGATACCACGGCACCACTGTGCCGCGAACCCCCTGTGCTGGGTTTTTTTTTTAATTGGTTGTCATTAAAGTAGATTCGGTTTCAAAATCGACCTTTTTTGAGTTATGGCGTTTTTATTCTAGAGGTACGATATATAGGGAGGGGCGTATTCTTATTTATTCGCACAAAGACGCCCTAAACTCTACAGCCTACAGAATTGGCACCTACAACATGCCATTACCTTTAGCTACACACACAAAATAATAATAATATTATATACATAATTTCAATAAGACCTTTAATAACTACGATCTGTGTACAAAATCTGTGTAAATCAGTTTATATGAATATAATTTTTATAGTGAAAAAACAAAGTTTTTACTAAAAATAACACTTACTCAGTTGTACTAGGATGAAGTAATTCATGGAAACCAATTTTTAAATAATAGTCAGTAATTGTTTGTAAATAATAATTTTTTAACTTTTCACTAATAAAATCAACAAGTTTCATATTACAATTATTGGAATAGTATTCACAATAGTACTTTTCTCGTATATTCATATCATTTGCACTATTTATAATAATAACATAATTTTTAAAAAATTCACGTGTAATGGCAACTACTTTATCAACAAAATTATTTATATCATTGTAATCTTCTTTAACTTCTTTAATTTTGATGCTTCCATCATTATTTACATAGTTTATTATTTCTGAGGTTTTCATTTGATACGTATAATGTTTAACGGTATAAATTTCTTCTACTACCGTTTTTCGATGAATTAATGAACTATTTACTAACTTCATATCTAAGTAATCAATAAATGTTATCGCTTTGTATAAATATTCAAACATCATATTTGAATTTTTAGCTGCATTTAAAAGTACTACAGTGCAATAAATTGCATTTTCAAATGAATTTTCTTCAAAAAAATGTTTACAATTATCTATAATAATTTTTAGATGTTCAGTAAATTTTTGTAGTACATCAGCAAATAAATAGTTAATTAAATCAATTATATGATAGTATATTTTTAAGTATTCACAAATATCATACAGTTTATATTTTATAACTTCATTTATATTTATCAATTTATCATTTTCAATCCTTATTGATACGTGTTCTAGATTTAAATGTTGTACTTGCATGTGATTCATTACTTGTTTGAAATATGTCGTATACTCTTTTCTGAAATCTACATCATTTATTTTACAATCAACAAGTCCATCTTCAAACGAAATACTTTTAGTAAAAAAAAATAAGGTTAACAATCCAATGTTCATTTTCAATATTTTTGTGAAATATTTTATGTAATAATATTAATTAAAATTATAATACTGAATCATGCTTTTTTTAATGTATTAATCATATTTATAATGTAAAAATATTTATGAATAGTTGTGTGCACTTTTTTAATACAATAAATATGATAACACTTGTTTAATTATTGATTTAATGATGAAATTAAAAATATATATTTTTAATTTCATATGTATATATTTATATACATTGTAGATTTTTACATTATTAAAATAAATATAGTATTCATTATTGTAATTTTAATGTAGTCCTAAAAAGTATTGTGGGATTTTTATTTGCTATGTTGTAATAGGCCCTTTACATAAAAACACTATTTTTTTCTCTTCTCTTTCAACTCTCAACACAAACAAAGATTCTATCCTATTACACAATACTTCTCAAAACAAATACTATACACAATCAATGTTTTCTGTTCTTAATCACATCTAACTGTAATGATATACATAGTACATCATTAATGTTATAATGTATTATTTAAGACTTCAATCAATCAATCAAACAGAATGAAATGTATACCAATAAAAATAAGATTTATATATATGTACCTTTTAAATATTTAAATATACTAATGAAATTTCGTAGAAAAAAGCATGTATTAATTATATAAAACAAATAGGAAATAATAAACAATATGTAATGGTAGCACATAAGATGAAGGGTAATAAACTATGTCTAATTTATTATATAAGATATAATAGTATTTTATAATATGTAGATCATTATTGATGAAAATGTAATAAATAACATGTAATAAATTACGATTAATAAAGAAATAACGGTGGCGTCGGGAATCACTTCTTGCCTTTGAACTACGGTCAAATTTAATATAAAAAGCCAAAAATAAAGAACATTCTGGGACAGATGCAGTCAGATATTCACAGACGCACTTACTACGCTCGATCATTGCACACAACGAAATATATGCAAGAAATGTTCCGCCGTCAACACAGTTATATTTGTTCAAAGAAAAATACAACATCTATTTATTTAAGAGTATAGCAGAAAATATCAAGGTAGGAATTTAATAAATTCGCCCAAAAATAAATAAGGTTTAGAATTAAATTTTGAGTACATAGATTAAGTAGGCATACAGGATAATCAAGTGATTATAATAATTAAGTGATAATAATAAGTGATTATTATAATAATAAATATACCAAGTAAATTTAAAAATCGATAATGTTTGTACAGAGTTACTTGGCAGAGTTATATCGTTGATACGTGTCTATTTCAGGAGTTAGGTTGGAGATTCATATGTATAGCCACCATACCATTCTGGGTAGACACACGAGGTGACTCAATCCCACCTATCATCGATAACCGTCAAAACTCGTGGCATTATTGATATTTAAGAATTGACAATTAATTATGATAAATCCCATATTAATAAAATAAAGATCACTTTATTTTTCTATCATCTTCTATCTTTCTTACAGACCCTCGTACTCATATCCCGA